AGCAAGCTATTAGTGCTAATAAGATTTTAAAAAAAGCATCAGAAGATTTTCAAACCCCAAATTTGAAAGACAGATCTCTAGGATGATCTGTTGGTACAGTTAGCCACACAACAAACCATTTTACTGCACAGCAGCAACACAATAACAGTTAAAAGGCTCAGGCTAGTTGAGGTGAAGCTTTGCAGGCAGGTAGTAGCCTGTTTTGACTCCTAGTTGTCACTCAAAGAGGTCATGCCACAAATGGAGCCACCCCCAAATGGCTATTTAAAGAACTGCAGGTTTTGAAAATTCTGCATTTTTCAGCCCTTAATCTGACCAAAGACATATAAACTAGTCAGCCCTACTGCAGACAAGTTTGCATTTTCTTATCCAATATATGATATGTGGTTAAGAAGGCGTCATAGAAATACTGGTATAGTCTTTTAATACCAGGATTTTAGGTGTTGGTGATTCTAAAGCCTTTAATGTGGAGTAGAAGAAGTAGTTTTAGATGGAAACAGCTGATTCAAATTTTCTGCAGGTGAGATCAAGCTCAGTGCAATCCAGAAGAATGTAAAGCGAGTGATGAGGGAGGAGTTTTCGCTCTTCTCACTCGGCATCGGTTTCGACGTGGACTATGATTTCCTGGAACGTATTGCCATGGAGAACAGGGGCATGGCTCAGAGGATCTACGCCAACCACGACGCAGCAGAGCAGCTACGGGTACGGCAAGGAAACACAACAAAAAAAACCCATCCAACTCTGCATCACTTACATTCTTCCTCCAAATTTCCAATTTCCTAAAGTCCAAAGCATTCCTTTACTTCAAGCATCTAATCTTTAGGCATCATACTCCCACTTACTGGTAAACTATTTTCTGGGACTCAGTTTGGTAATGAAAAGGTGTGCCAATCACAGTACAAATAAAGAACAGATTTTTCCTGTAAGATAAAATCTACCTTTTTTGTTGGATGCAGAAAATGATGGCCCGTTTAACCATCAAAACTGTCGGTTATCACCTCCTTTTCTTCTCTCTCCACAGGCGTTTTATAGCCAGGTTTCCTCTCCCCTGTTGAGGAAAATCACTGTTCAATTCCAAGCGGACTCAGTTGCAGAAGTCACTCAGAATCACTTTGATAAATTTTTCAGCGGCTCTGAGCTGGTGGTGGCTGGGAAGGTGCTGCCGTCTGAGAGCAACACGCTGACCAGCCTCACCACGGGGTCTGCTGTAAGTGCAACACACCCAGTCATACACCTAACATGCTTACTTAAAAAATAGCCTGAGTAGTAAGGACATGAAGGAATGAAGCCTTACTACCAGTATCCCGTGGTACATTTCGTCCTGCAGGCACGTCTGGACATTATTTTGGAGACGGACGCCGACACCACAGAGCTGGACGCAGAGCTGGCCAAGCAGCAGCACTCTTTCACTGGCTTTGCCCGCCAGATGTGGGCTTACCTTACCATTAAACAGCTGATCAGTGAAAGGTGATGGCTGACCAGTTGCTTCATTTCTTTATACATAGGAGACATTTCTGGTTGATCATTATTGCCAAATCTCAGCTTGACATGGAAATATCATTTGGAATATAACACCAAGTAATGTCAGTGGCCCTCTAATACAAGCAGAGTCAAACCCCTGAAAGAAAACATGATTTCTATATAAATATCCTTGAAGACAACAGCAAATTTGTGGAATTGTCAGTATTTGACAGCTGCGGTGTGGCTCCCCTCCAGGTCTCTGGCTACAACAGCTGTCAAAAAGAGGAAGATCACCCAGCGGATTATGACTCTGGCTGTGGAGCATCAGTTTGTCACTCCGTTCACCGCTCTGCTAGTGGAGAGCGGGGACGCCACGGAGAGGTTGCTGGCTGACTCTCCAAAGGACCCCAAACATGGCTGCTGCTCAGGTGCATGGCAAACGGCAGCATGACACTAAACAAAACAGGTGCTACATGGCTGAGGAAGATGAGGAAGGGAAAGGATCCTAAAGCATTTAAAGCACATGTAGAATAAAAGGGCACAAAATGGGATCATACATATATGAATGAAATGCTGTACATGCAAAATATAATACTTTATTCTCTCACATGTTTACAGGAGGAGGATCAAGTGGTCCACCTCCTGTGGAAGTTCTTGTGTACCAGCCTCCACCCTGGGTCATGTCAACCCCAGCACCCTCAATGGGTGAGGTTTTGGAGGGTCCAAAAGAGGAGATCACTCTGCCGGAACGGGTTAACCTTGGTAATACAGGCTGTACACACTCTTACTAAGCATCATGAGTACCTTTCCAGCTGCAGTGTTCCCTGTGAACACGACATAGTGAGTAACCAGCTCAGTGCATCTCTTCCAGTGGATAACGACCCTCACTTCATCATCCATCTGCCCAGAAGTAACATGGACATCTGCTTCAACATTGACTCCAAACCCGGTCATATTCTTAACCTGCTTTCTGACAGTGGAACAGGTAGTAAATGTTCAAAGAAATATGTTTTGGTGTTTTGTTAATCATGACTATATCTACAGTTTACTACTGTAAACAACCATGACGACTTCTCTAAGTAATTTGCAGATCATAAGCTGTATAGAAAAGATTGAAGGAGCCAAAATGATATTGGTGGTTGGTTGGACTTCCATTTTTATGTCAGAATGGTAGCATTTTAGCAGTCACCATCTTGGTTTTCTGAAACTAGACAACACATGTGAGGACCCAGAGAACCAGAGGACACTAACCACTCTCTAGTAGCCATTATAATTCACAAACAACAGCATACCGCAATAGGCTAAATAAGATAAATCCCTAGACTCATTAGGAAAATGCTTTCTGAGGAATTAAAAGGAAGAGGAAAGGTAATTTTGTCAGAGGCTTCCTCACAATCTGACTTATTTTTGTAACCAGAAAAGTCACCCCCTGCTGGTCAGTAGAAAAAAAATGAATAAAGCACTCCATCTTTTATGTACAGTTTATGTTGCAGACCTGAAGTGAATTTTAATTTATTCAATCTTTAGTCTATTAAATTCCAAATTTAACTGAATATTATGCGGCACAATATTTCATAGATTAACCTCCCTCTCCTGTCCTTAAGGTGTAACTGTGAATGGTCAGTTAATTGGCTCTAAGAAAGTGAACAAACGCACCTACTTTGGCACCATCGGCATCTACTACCAGCCGGACGGAATCAGTGTGATTGTCAGTACTGATGGGATCACCATGACTGATGGCAGAAACAACCACTCCTTCACCTGGGGGTCTACAGCTGAAATAAGACAGGATGGGTAGCTGACTTACCTTTAATTGCTGTTTCTACCTTGCTGTCAGATCCTTTGGGCTAAAGTTGTTTTGTTTCTATTTCAGGATAAGGATTTCCATTGTAAAGAATTCTAATGTCATCATCACAATAAATAATAGTACCCAGGTGATGGTGTTGCTTCACCGTGTGTGGAAGAAACACCCTGTTAATGTTGACTTTCTTGGGATTTACATTCCCAATGAGAACCAGTATTCACCTCTAGTCCACGGACTCATAGGTAGGTCTAGGTGGAGTGAAACACACAGTATCCTCACAGTAATCAAACATTAATGTTGTCAAAATTGTTACGTTTAATAGAGAAGTAAAGCATGGCAGTGTTATAAGATACTAATCAAGGAGCTAGCAATGGCCCAGAGGTAAGATAATAAAAACAGCATGGGCCGCATGATCGAGCCTTGAGGAACCCCATGCAAATGTGGAACAGAAGAAGATGTAATTATTGATATAAATATTGGAGTGTTTGCCATACAATACAAAGTACAAAGAAGACCACTGAAGTTCAGTAAGCACAATTAAGACTGCTCAATTAAAAATCAGAGTCATGACTCTTTTGGTCAAAAGTGACATCCCAGTTATTTAACTACTTTTAAAACATCATGTTTTTGTTTGTTCAAAGTATTATTTGTGGTTGTTAGACTCAAACCAGGCAATTTTTTCCTAGTATTCAATCGTGGTGAGCTTGTATAAATTATAGCTTTAATATCCTGTACTTAGCTGACAGGAGTTTTAACCATTGTGGTTTTCTCCTGGTGTGGTCTATCTGCTTCAAGATTCAAGATGCTTCTCTGTACACGCTGGTTGTAACAAATGGTTATTTTATTTATCGTTGCCTTTTTAGCTTGAAGCAGTCTGGCCATTCTCCTCTAACTCAATGAATTTTTCTCCCAGAGAACTGGGTGACCATTCTCTGTAAACCTTAGAAATAGCTCTCTGGGAAAATCCCATCAGATTAGCAGTTTCTGAAATACTTAGACCAACCCATCTGGCACCAACCGCAACACTTAATCACATAAGGCCAGTCTCGTAAGGCCAATAATCTTGGCCTTGCGAGATGCAATAGTGCAAATGCATTTGAAGCAGAACTTTTCTTGCTCTCATATTGTCTTTTTGTGTTAATTCAGCTCATGTTTGAGCTTACAATATACTAAATATCAAAGATAGAGTTTAAGCTAAAAATGTGGTCCCACAGGGCAGTTTTCCATTGAGCCTGAGGTCATCTTATACGACATCCACAAAGGAGCTGACCCCCTAAAGAAGGAGGCCACTATGGAAGTGAAGGGCAACAAGCTGCTTGTCACCAGGTATGTCTTGAGCCACAAAAAAAAGACAAAAACAAAAACAACAATAAAAAAAATGTTAATAAGAAACCTTCTTGTTAAAACTTTACATTCTTGTTTTTGTGTGTGTCAGGGGGTGGCAGAAGGACTACAGGCGTGATAAGAAGCGTGGCTCCAACGTCTACTGCTGGTTCATTCACAACAGTGGGAAGGGCTTCATTGACGGCCACTACTCACAATACATTGTCCCAAATCTAAGCAGCTTCCTCCACATGCCCTGAGAAGCCAGATCCACACTAAATTACCCTGTCCTGCTATTAATCCCCAGGGGTCAGTAGAGAAAATTAGAACCATATGAGTGAAGGGGAATGTCTTTTTTTCCATTGATGTGCAACTAAATTTATTAATCTTATTTTCCAGAGGACACCAGGAGTAACTTTTGTCAAATTTATTTTGAGAAAATATACATCTGAAATGTCAAAACTGACTCAAATACTAAATAAAAACAAACAAAAACAAACTGCTCAAAGTTCTTCTGGTTTGTTCAAGCAGGTGAAATATGGGACATACACAAGAGATTCCCGGGGAATAAACTCTGACACAGTAGAGTCCTTCAGCTAAAAAGCTACCTGAGGTTTAAACAGGAAGTATGCTTATTCAGGCCAGTTTTGAGAAATCCTCGTAGGCAATGTCCACTCTCTTTCCTTTCTGAGGTCCCTGAGGATGAAGAAGAAAAGACATTTGAATGGCTACAGCAGAACAGAACTTTGACAATACCTAAAACAAACCCAAAATATTAATCCTGAAAACAGGGAGCAATAATTTGGTCATAGTCGGACCTATTACAGCCTGACTAAATGTTTTTCCTTTCAATATATAATGAATACTGTGAAATTAGATTATTCCTAAACTGTTTGACACACCTTAAATCATTTAGCTGATCTTTTTTTATATTCGTGCATGTGCAGACTTTTTGATGGGCGGGGCTATGTAATTATGCACGGACTGATTTGCGCATTTACAACACAGAAGAAGTCCAAACATGGACGAACTAGTTTCCCCCCCCCCCAAAAACAAACAAACAAACAAACAAAAAAAAAACACCGTTAGCGTTAATGCGGCTTAAACATGGTCATCACGATTAAAATTTTTTAATGCTCTCAACCCATCTGGAGCGCAGAATGAACAAAATTTGGACAAACTGCCGAAATGCGTTGGCAGAGACATTTCAGGGATTTTGATTCAGTGTGTGCTCCAGATGGGTTGACTGTTAATCGCGTTAGTCATGATGACGGCGCGTTAACGCTGACAGCACTAAAAAATATAAAGTCGCCAATTTAGGATTTCTTTGGCTTTAACCCCGATGAAAGAGGTAAACCTAAGGATGTAACCAAAGCGGTGTGCCACTTGTGCAGACGTATAGTGCGAGAAAAGTACTCAAACACGGCTAACTTGCATGAGCATGTACGTGTCCACCATCGGGCTGAGTAAGTTAGGCTATCACCAGCTTCTGCAGCTCCATCAACAAGCATTTGGGCGCACTCTGAAGAGGGTGCATTTGCTCACAGATGATGAGGGTGCTGTTAAAACAGCGCTAATATTTTGTTTCTGTTGACTGCTTCTATTAGCTCCATCATTATTAGCAAACTTACTAATTTTAATGGTTTAAACACTGTTTAATTCAGTGCCATCAGAAATGATTGCTTAAGAGAATTCTGCATTAAAAAATAAATTAAGCAATTTGTTATTCACAAAAGCTCTTTTTTTCTTTATAAACATAAGGACTCATATGTAATATTGATTGAACAAACAAAGCAATGTGAAGACTTTTGACTACAGAAGTACATTAACTTTTACAGACAAAACTATGTTTTAACATCACAGGGACTTCCTTTGGATGATTAAAAGCGGAAAGGTCAAAATACTTACAGAGTCAAGAGTGAGTGCAGCGCTGAAATGTTTTTCATCAATGCCCTCTAGCAGAGCCTCCATATCTCTGTAAGGACCGTTCAGGATCAAAACTCGTTTACCTGCAGCAAGTTTGAGAACAGGTTTACTACCAGAACAATTAACATTTCAAGAACGGTTTTTCTGTGATTTATAGAGCTGTGATTTATACCTGGGGCAGGTATAACTGTCTCTAAGTGATTCTGGTCCAGTTTCAGTTTGTCTCCAGAGTCGATCATTTTTACCACTGCGGTGTATTTGTCTCGTACCTCCTATGAATGAAAAGGATCCGCAGATGTAAGCACCACAGACCTTTAAAGTTTACACACTGCAACCCAAATTTAAATCTAAAGAAAATACTTTACCATGATGACAGCCTTCTTTTTGTGGTATTTCTCCCCCAGTCTTTTGGTGATTACTTTTACTATAATATTGGGCTGCAGCCAGTCATCAGTTCTCACCGGCTGCTGCTGCTGTTGTTTTTTCTTCTCCATCTGTGCAAAAAGGAATCACATACCTGATCAGTGAACCTGGCTGCAGTTAACCGAAGACAATGCAAACAAAACAAGAATCACAACCTCTATGATCTCCTCCAAAGCTGATTTCTTCTTCTTTTCCCCTCCTCTGAAGTCTGAGCTGGAGTCTTTCCTTTTTACTGAGGTCGAAGACGAAGATGATGCTGCTTTAAGCGCACTAGCACCCAGAACCGAACTAAAGGAGGACAGGAGCACTCAGTTAGAGGCTGAAGTATTTTACATTAATGTATCTTACACAGAGACCTCTGTACCTTGATTTGGAGGGGCCAGCGACAGAAGAACAGGCACCCAAGTTGAAAGCAACTGTAAGACAGAAATAAGTAAGGGTGAGGGGGAAAAAAAACAACTTTCTAGCAAATGTATTAAGAAAATAAGAAAAAACACAAACCTTTTTCTTCCTCACTCTCCCGTTTGAGCTCTGTGTAGACTGGAGTTTCCTGTAGAATAAAACCACCTTGATTATAAAGAGCTGAACCAGCAAATACAGTACGAGGCTTGGGTCTGCCCTGTTGGTACTCACATCAGTGCCTTTGCCTTCACGGCCTTTGCGGACCTGCTCCTCGATCATTCTGGCACTCCTCTCCTCGTCGTCAAGCTCCTGTTTCTTCTTTCTCGCCTGCTCCTCTTGGCGTCGGATGGTCTCTGGGTCGCGGTCGATGTACTGGATGTACCAGCCTTTGGGGGTTTCATCAACTTTGCAAAAACCTGTTGACGATTTCAAACAAGGTTAAAGTACCATTATATTCCTTTGCATTAACTGCAAAAAGGTTACATCTAGATGAGAGACCTGTCAATTTACCAGTCAGTGATTTGTAATGCCTCATCAATCTACATATACATAATGGACATCAATTTCCAATTCAATTTAATTGTGTATCTAAATAGCACCAAATCACAACAGCAGTTTTCTCAAGGTGCTTTATATTGTAAAGACCCTACAATAATACAAAGAAAAGAGTTTTTCAGGTTTTTCACTCCTTAAAAATTGTCAATTTTTTTTGCCCAAGCTGTGGAAGCAGGTGGTTTGATGAAAGGTAAAAATACTGACTCTAAGTGAAAACTACTCATTACTGATTTCACCTAGTTTTCACCACAGCTGAATCTTCTTCCTCTCCCTTTAAGGGTTGCCACAGCAGATCATCTGCCTCCGTGTCACCTTATCCTTAGCATCCTCCTCTGCATGTCTTCCTTGATTATTTTTTTTCCTCTTGCTTGTCAGCTCCATTTCTAACATCCTTTGTCTAGTACATCCACTGCCCCTCCTGTGCACATGTCCAAACCATCCCAGCATTGCCTCTCTAACTTTGCCCCCAAACTGCTCAACCTGAGCCGTTCCTCTGATAAACTCAGTTATAATCCTGTCCCTCATGGTCACTCAGAATTAAAATCTTAACATCTTCAATTCTGCCGCCTCCAGCTCTCTACCAGGCCTCACTCCATTTGGTAAACCTTCTCTTTCACTTGCTGTGTTCCTTCTATCACAAATCATCTCTGACACTCATCTGCAGCCACTCCACCCTGCCTACGATGTCTTTTTCACCTTACCCGTGCTCTGTCTGTAGCTGTGGATTTCAACTCATCTATCTTTGCTACTTCTGCAACTTCCCCTTGTTACCAGCATTTCAGTTAAAAGAAACACCATCAGTAGCCCGTAGCTGTCCAATCAACAAGCCCAACACACTATTTTGTTAACTGGTCATTTAAATGTGTTCTTTTAGAATAAAACATTGCATAAATGATTGATTAGATGTGGTTTGTAGTTGAAAGCGAAGCTGCTCAATATATAAACACCCACCTAATTTCACCCTGCTAAAAACTACTCACAAAAACACTTAGGCTGTGATCAAAACACTTTTACTACAGAAGAAAAACACAAGAGTGCATTTCCACAGACCATATTTATTCTTTTCGTAGGTTTCAGACCACCCTGTAGTTCAGTGTTTCACACCAGCTTACCCTCTCTGCCCAGCCACTTGGTGAAGTCGGTCAGAGTCTCCCACTGCGTGGAGTTCATATGGATGTGCTCCCGGTGACTGATGTACTCATTGTAGACGATGTTGTTGTGTACTCGCTTGGTCCCTGTGGATGAGAAAGGAGCAACAAACATTCTTATAACTGACTACAGACAGCTGCTGCTGCAGAAACATCTGGATGACTAGCAAACCCCATCTCACCAAATCGTCTCCTGAGCAGCTCCAGGAAGTCACTTTTGAATTCACTGGGAGAAAAGCAACAAGAATAAAGGCTTATGATCTTTTTCATTAAATCACAAACGTGACGGAAGAAGAAACATGACGTAACTCACTCTGAGAAGTAGTCCATGAACTTGGTGGGGTTCTCAGAGGCCAGCAGTAGCTGCCTCTGGTGGGACTCGGACATGCAGTGACACTTAAATCCGTTCTGTCACCAACAAAAACACAGTTTAGAGTTTAAAATCCTTTAGAAGTACAACGAATACACCTAAAAAAAAAGACCCATTTAATGAACATCTTACCTCGTCCCTGCATTGTTTCTGACACATCTGGCAATACCATCTCAACTTCTGTAGACCTTTGGCTTTTATTCGGTTACTTATCGCTTTGGGTGAAAGAAAATCCGCTTTTCCCATTATGACTAGTTAACTTTAACACGAAACACTTTAGAAAATGATTTTAAAAAACGTGTTTTTCCTCGAAAAGCTGCTCAAACGAGCGCTCGCTGCTAGGGTAAACAGTTTCCGCGTGTGCTTCTACGTCATACCCTCGCGAATAAACGAAAAAACTCGCGATACTCTTGCTGCGCGTTTGTGCTCCTCATAAAGATTGTGTTTTCTGGAATTTTCTTGTACATAACGTTCCGGAAAACACATTCACAAAATGTTTTAACTGTTTTAACATTTAACTAATGTTTCTGCGTTTCATTTAATTATCCTACAAGAAAAAACGAGTAAAAGATTATTTAAAAGTCTTTTCTTTTGCTAAATAAGAAGAAAAACTCGAAACAAACCAACAAAAAAAGAAAAAAGAAAAAAGATGTTTCTAGCTAATATAATAAAATCTTAATTATAGCCCAAGCAAATATTTTGTGGAATTCAATATTTTTCAGTAATTTATTTTTATTTAAACTACATGTAAAAGATAAACTACAAAAGGAAGATGTATGTATGGTTGTGTATGCTACATGGGAACAGATGACTCTTCAGGAGTACTTCATTAACGGTAAGAATTTTGACAGTAAGTCGAGAATTTTCTTTAATTTGTTTTTCCTGGGAAAAAGAGCAGAAGTCTTTTCAGCTGGTAAAAGGGGACATTTACATTTCGTGAGAGACTGTATTGTAAAAAAAAAGACGTTAAATAGCGTAAACACATGCTGGATAAATTACTGCGATAATGTACAATAATTGATTTAACTTTTGGAAAATTGTCGAAGGATGGAACAGATTAGCTTTATCTTGACGCGTGTCCGTGAAGGCATCAATTCGTCCATTTTGCTTTTGACTTGCGCCTGCGCAGTCCTGCGTGTCTGACCTTCATAGGACTAACCATGTTCGCCAGGAGCAGCGCTTTGGTGTTCTCCCCACAATGGTAAAGTGAATAATTTTCTTATACTTTCTCCGCTGCCTTAAATGCAGTATTTTATAAGTTTACTTCAAGTAGATATGCAGCGGGAGTAAGTGTGTGACGTGTAGACTGCACCGTTTGCAGTTATTGAATACAAGGGCGCGCTATCTTGCAGGCCGCGGCTAATGAATGACAGCGCTGCCAATGGACACGTTCAGCCAGCTAGCCGTTAATGCTAACTGAGCTGACGTTTTTCAATATGAGGGGAAAGGGGAAATATTATCAGTGCCCCTGGATGATTTATCTTACTGCATTATCTAACACAGCACAAGAACAGCTAGAGTGAACTGTCACAGCTTTCTCCGTGTAGTTAGCCACCAAGCTAAAGGATGAGGGCTCTCCTTCAGGATTAGCAAACAGCTAAATCTATATCAAAGGTTCATTTAACATGAGTCTGTGCTGTAAAGTGGTGTTTTTGCTGTTTAGGATGTATTTGGATATTGATGAAGCTTGTCGGTTAAGCTCACATACACCCTTTCTGTTCACAGGGGGCAGGTCAGGAACATGGCTACCTTGAAGGACAGTAAGTACTTTGTATACTACTCTGATAGAAACATAACACATCTCGGATACAAAATCTGAATGGTCTCACACAAAATCTTTAATATTCCCTTTAATAAAGCTGCAAACATTTACTGGGTGTCACTTGATACCAGAACAAAGCATAATATATATTCTTTTTTTATTAAGCTAATGCAAAGGCTAGCAGGCAGTCTCGGGTTATCTCAGTCCATCTATTTCAGCCCTGATATCTTAGCATTTGGTTAACTGCTGATATGAAGTACCCGTGACACGAGTGTTAAATTCATTAGCAGTATATATTATGTGTAATCAGTGTTTTGTTTTGTTTTTTAATTTTCCATAGCAAAATGGAAAAAGGAATAGACAAGTTAAATTTAATTAATATTAGCTCTTTAATTTGATTAATATTCTCATGAACATCAGTTCATGAGGATATTGCATAAATTCTAATTCAAGCTGAATATGAGTCTCTAATGGAGACATTTAACAACTGTTAAACCTAATTTGAACTTGTACTTGCATAGTACCTTTCTACCCTGTGCTGTGCTGTGATGAGAACATCAGAAAGTAGTGAATAATGAAAGAGGAAAAAGGGAAATTTAAAAAAAAAAAGACTAACAGCTGCTAAAGTGAATTACAATTATTTTGCTGAATTTTAGTTTTGTGAATAATAGAATTAAAGTGTTTTTGCAGGTTCGCCAATAATAAAGGGATGGATACCTCTTTTCTTAGTGTGTGAAATTGCATTCAGTTGTCATTTCTTTTCTCCCTCTAGTTACCATTCGGTTGAAATCCATCAAAAACATCCAGAAAATCACAAAGTCCATGAAAATGGTCGCCGCTGCCAAGTATGCTCGTGCTGAGAGGCAGCTGAAACCAGCACGTGTCTATGGCACCGGTTCTCTGGGTATGTACATCTCACTGTCACGTTGACTGAAGCTTAATATTGATTCCAATTCAGTTGATGATTGAAGGTTTTACTGCTTTCTTCAGCCCTGTATGAGAAGGCTGACATCAAAGCCCCGGACGAGAAAGCCGCCAAGCACGTGATCATTGGTGTGACTTCCGACCGTGGGCTCTGTGGCGCCATCCACTCCGGTGTGGCAAAGACCATCAAGAGTGAGATCGCCAACCTAACCGGCGCTGGCAAGGAGGTGATGGTGATCAATGTGGGAGACAAGCTCAAGGCTCTGCTGCACAGGTGTGTTCAAGGTTTTCATCATTATATCATTTTATCAGTGTAATGATCATCATCTCACTGTGAAAGGATGTGAATGTAGTCTAGTGTTTGGCTTCACTCAGCAGGTATTTAGGGATATTTAGCTTTTTTCTTTTCTTTTTTTTTCTGTCCTTTATGCTATGTGAATATTGGTTATTTTATTCCATGGAAGGTGTATTAAAGTAATATTTAGGCTACCTCAATGTTTTGTTTTTAATTCCTTTTTTGGGGGGTTGAGGGTATAATTTTATCTCGCACAGGAGCTGTTTGTCTGCTGTTACTTTACTGGGTTGATTTGTATTATTGTGTGACCTTGATATTTTAATGTGTTAATTCATGCATTAAAACTCAAAGGTCACAGAAACAGAACTGCAGCTCCAGTTTTCTGTGAAATGTAATTCTGTTTTTTGCAGTGGAGTCTGGCTTTAAGAAGGCTGCTTCTTTCCTCTGAGCTTTGACTCTTGTCACATGCACAGTTATGACACAAAGTTAACGTAAACCTTCAAACTCTGGATTGGAGGCGTGTCTCCTTCCATCCATACTGTAGGACAGCTTTGATGGCAAGCTCAAGCTGAGGACTGAGGATCTAGTCTAAGACTGATTACTGAGCTCTGATCACGACGACTCTTGTTCTGCCTTAGAACTCATGGAAAACACATCATGTTGAACTGCAAGGAGATTGGCCGCAAGCCCCCCACCTTTGGTGACGCTTCAGTCATTGCTGCTGAGCTCCTCAACTCCGGATATGAGTTTGACCAGGGTTCAGTCATCTTCAATAGATTCAGGTACAAACAGGCTTTGAGGTTTCACTGTTTTCCTTCTGTTTTATTATCCAGATCAAAGCTAACCGACCCTCCCTGTCATGCAGGTCTGTTATCTCCTACAAGACGGACCAGAAGCCCATTTATTCCATAGACACAGTTGCTAACTCAGGTAGCACCAGTTGTTTTGTTAAATCCGTTTAACACGGAGCCATCAGAGATGTTGATCATCTTTCTTCTCCCTCAACAGAGAGCATGGGCATCTATGATGACATTGATGCTGATGTGTTAAGGAACTACCAGGAGTTCACTCTGGTCAACATCATCTACCTGGCCCTGAGAGAGTCGTCCACCAGCGAGCAGAGCGCCAGGATGACTGCTATGGACAGCGCCAGCAACAACGCCTGTAAGAATCTGAACTTCCTGCCAAACGTGCAGTCTTTTATTGTTTTCTTCTAGAAGTCAGAGTGCTGCTGATACTATTTCTCATTTTAAAAGATGCACTGATGTTAGAATATTTCTTTAACAGTTATCATCCAACAGCTATGTCGCCTTTGGAAACAACATCTAAATATATAAGCAGTAGCTAGCATAGCAGCTAATATGAGATGTTTCATAACACTGTCATGAGAAAGCTTAAGTGTTTAAAGACCGATAAGGTGGTCATAGCAGTTTATGGAAAGTTACTTATAGCATAAGTGCTGAGTATTTCTGGGTTTAGCATTTCAAATGGGTTTAATTCAAATTAACTTAAAATTATTGGGAAATAGCCTTCATTTACAGTATAACACCAGCATTATCTATAGATGCAAGTAATTAAAGATGCATAACAAAAAGGAACCCAAATAAAATGACAAATTGCATAAGAGGTTCGAAGGGAAATTAAAAATGGTTCATCCATGGTTCATCCAAGCTCAAGCAGGCTTGAGGGACTTCCTTGGTTGCTCTTCCAGTTTCAGCCTGCTAACAAGGGCACTTTTAGGTCTTTAGATTCATGTCATTGCTAAAGGAGTTGTTTTTGTCAAATCAATTAAGTTGACACCTCTTGGATCTTGGTAGACATTGAAATGGGGCATGTTATAGACAAATGTAAGCAGATTTGGTATGTTAATAATTATTAATGGTAACAGAATCCAAAGTCATGATGACTGGGTTTTTATCCCTCAGTTGTAAAAGGCTGATGGGATATTATCGCAACCCTGCCGGGTGGGTGGGTGGATGGTATAGACACGAAAGTTTGTGAATACGATGACTCAAGAAGGAAGTCGCCTTAGATTTTAAAATTCTTGCATCTACATCAACTAAGGGGTGATGGCTTTTCAAATTGATACCATAGGTGCATCTAATAGGAGGCTGACGGGCAGCAGTGGTGGCTGCCAGTGTTTCTTCTTTAAAATGCTCTTAAAGGCTTCAAACAATGACGAATAGAAAACAAGTTGAGAGGAGTTGGAGGCGATGGGTTTCTATAACTGTAACGTGTTATGATTTAGTTTGTGCTGAGTCATGCTTTTAATCCTTCCACCATAAAGATTTAAATTTGACCGTGACTGATTTTTCTCTCCCTTCGCTTCAGCTGAGATGATTGACAAGCTGACCCTCACCTTCAACCGTACCAGACAGGCCGTCATTACCAAGGAGCTCATTGAGATCATCTCTGGAGCCGCTGCTTTGTAAGTTTTAACCACGTCTTCAATTTTCTCTCCCACTTTTCTATCTTCCTCCATCCATTTACAATTTTTCCTGTGACTCATCCCTTCATTATGATCCTCATTCACTCTAACTTCCCTTCACTCTTAACTTTCTGACCTCGGAAACCCCCCCCCCCCTTTTTTTTTTCTCCTCCCAAAAGATTCCCACTTAGCTATGCATGTCTTTAAATTCCCAAAAGCTGTCAGATTCTTTCATGACTAATTCTCCTCTCCGACCTAATCTACTCCTCCTCAACCTCTGCTGAACTCAGGAACTGAGGCTGGTCTTAACAGAGGAGGTAACAGTGGTAGACTGTAATGTAAAGAGCCCCACTGGGCTAGTGTAATGAAAACTAGCTGTGGAAGGGTCCTAAGTTCTAGTAAAGTAGACTAGAAATTTGACCGAGTAGTTTTCAGAGTTGTGGATTTCATTTTTAAATGTTTGAAACTTGTTCCTAACCTTTGCTTTTCTTTTTGCAGATAAACTGGTGGGATCTTCATTTCCATTATCTCTTCAAAGTACTTCAGACATGTTATTGTCCAGAGTCTAATGAACATTTGCGCTTGTATTTGTAAAATATATGGAGAAAATAAAGCTCTTACACAGAACGTCACCCTTTCATCACTTCCTGTATCTGTTTTTCCTCCAAATAAACTCTGATAGATGAGATGAATGTCGACGTGATACTCCAGTGAGATTTATTAAGTGGTTTTATAATGGCTTTGCTGTTTTCATGGAAATGCATTTGCTCAGTGGCTCCAGCTTGGCGTGCTTGTAATTCTTGAGATATTTCTGTACGAATATGCATTTGACCTCAATGCTTCTCTTATTATACCTTATCTTTATCAGCCATGATACGCTATATTGCCAAAAATCACTTGCATGGAAACTGGTGTATAAAAGGCAAGCAGCTAGACATGCAGACTACCACTAAATATTCCACAGTCAATTGTTAGTGAAAAGTGGAAGCAACTTGGCCATGAAGTGGTAGGACCCATAAAGCAGGGTCAGCAGATGCCAAGGCACATGGTGAACTCTGTGCACTAACTTTCTGCAGAAGCAATCGCTGCAGGCCTCCAGACTTCATGTGGCAATCACATTAGCTCAGAAGAACAGAGCTTCATGGAATGGGTTTCCATGACCAAGTAGCTGCATCCAAGCCTTGCATCACTAAGCGCAATGAAATCTGTTTGATGCCACCTCTGGACATGTTCTCTTAATGTTTTAGCATGCTAAGACATTTTGGACATTTTCATGCTCCTAACTTTGTGGGAACAGTTTGAGGTTGGACCCTTTCTGTTCCAACGTAACTGCAACAGTGCACAAAGCAGGTCCCTAAAGAAATGTATGGGTGAGTTTAGTGTCGAAGAGCTTGACTGGTCTGCACAGAGTCCCGACTTTAACTCGATACAACACCTTTTGGCTGAATTGTAGTGGAGACTGTGACCTCGGACTTCTCATCCAACATCACCGTCTGACCTCACAAATGTGTTTCTGGAAGAATGGTCAGAAATTCCCATAAACACTCCTAAACCTTCTGAAATGCCTTCCCAGAAGAGTTGAAGCTGTTATAACTTTAAATCGTGGGCAGACATTAAACCCTATCGATTAAGAATGGGATGTCAGTCATGTTCATAAGTGTGTGTGAAGGCAGATGAGCGAGTTAGTGTCTGAAAGAGTGTTTGAGGTGTTGAGTGGATTCATTCATTCCTCACTCCACTTCACAGTTTGGTGCTTTATGGGAACCAGGCTACGTTTAAAAAGTTGTTGCAACTGAGCTTTAATGAAACAAAGTAAATGTTAAGGGTATATTTCAGCTCTCAAAGCTGTCAGTCTGTCAGTGCCTTTAATTTTGCAGTTGATCAGTGAACATTACAGTTTTTTTTCTTCTTCGTACATGGTCAATAGTGCAAACTTTGCACTAACCAATAAAGTGTACTTATTTCACACAGTGATTTTGTTTGGTGGGCACTCTCATTTAAAAAAAATCTCAACAAACTAACAAAAGTATAAATGACAAACAAATGCCCCGACCTTATCATATGCATAGGTTATTGCTTAGATGGTCCTCAGCCTGTGGATAATCACAGTGTAAATTGGTCGCTTGCTGTTCCTTTAGAGACCACCAGGTGTTGCTCTGTGATCAGAAATGTGAGGTCTTCGAGCCCAACGCAACAACCTGCATTTACTTGTAAAGTGGTGCTTTTGTATGTGTAACAGCAAAATGACATGTAACACCTCCGGTTAGTTCTGCTTAATTAATCCACTGCATTCAGATTTAACCTGTGATGTGAGTCCAGCTGTGTAGGCTAGGTCTTCTGGTTTCTCATGTTAATGTGGGCTAAAGTTAGAGGGCAATAGCTTCTTCCAAATATAGACAGAAAACAGAAGACTCTTGTGGTTTACATTTATTGTTTATGGTTCTGTGGATGCCTGTGTGTGTGTGTGTGTGTGTGTGCTTATATGTCCTGCAGACCTTGTTTGTCTATTGTATTTGTGCTTGTTATTGTTTACTCCTGAGGGTAGCAGGGAGCGATTGCATCTGAACACTGAAATTACAGCGATGCCAGACTCTGATAATCGCAGTCAGAGAGCAGCAGCCTTCTCATCTCCCCCCTCACCGCTGAGGCCCAGTACTCCAACATTACATGGACGTGAGTGACGGTGGGTAAGGGGAACACTGGGAAGTGGGGTTTTTTTTGTGATTTTTTTTTTTTTTTGCTGGGAAATGTGAGAGTTTTGGATAAATGCTCAATAGTGAAAACAGAGCAGACTGTGTGTGTCTTGTAAAAAAGTAAAAAAATAAATAAAAATTGTGTAGTTGAAAAGTCACTGCAGAAATAGGACGTCCACTATAAAGGGCTTACTGACAGAGATAGTGCACTGAGGTTTGTTTTCCTTTCCGGCAGCAAAGTGTGAAGCCTGAGAAGTTATCTCTGCAGAAATAATTTTCTTTTTTGTCTTGATGATTGCAAGGAAGAGAGTACATCTACCATAATGCAAGCCAAACACTGCGAGGTATTCGACATATCAGTCGTTGGAAGGCTTTAGTCAAAGTAAAAAGTAGGATGTCTTTAAGGTCTCAGTGCTGAGAATTCAAATGATGGAGAAAATGTGTGAAAGAATATTAACTTTAAATATATTACCTTATATGGACGACATGTCAAGCTGAAAAAAAAGTATTTTTTTTCCTCATGTTTTAAAGAGTTTTTTTCCCTTTCACACTATAAGTGTGAATGGCCTATGAATAGCCGTCTATACTTGTGTTAATTTCTGGCACTCACTATCTCATTGTTGTCAAAAGAAAGCTAATGATTTAATTAAAATCTGACACGGTTCCTGTTTTTGATTTTAATTTTTTTTCTTGCCTGCCAAATCGTCATTTATGCATTTTTTCATTTAATAAGATGATAACAATTGTAAGGCTTCTGTTACTTGAGCTCTGAGAATGTGGCCAAGCGTCGGGCTGTGGTGGCAGCGGCCATGTGTGGCCACTTGTTGGCTCAGTCCCTGTATTCAGTCTGTCATCTCCTACTTAGCTGGCTAATCTGTGTCTGATTTGTTCCCATTACTGCTGCGACAAGGTAACACGAGTAGACAGCAAAAATTCAGAATTTCCTAACTTGAAAATGTAGCAGTGCCTCGGTTTTTGGTCCCTCCTTGACACGAGCCAGGCGGGATTTAGTTAAGTTCAGGGTATTCTGATGAAAATCCCTCACTGCCACAGACTGTATATAAAAGATGACCATTAATGAAGTCATGTTCTGGATCCTCGAGCTCAGCTTTTTGGCTTTGAAGCTCTGTTTAGTGACTGAAAGAATGATGTTGCAGATACAACAGGTAGTAATAGGTTTCCTTTGGAGCATGGCTGGGCTCTCCCTTGGAGATAGGGTGAGGAGCTTGGCCATTTGAGGGGCACTCAGAGTAAAGCTGCTCCTCCTTCATATCAACCTGTTCATGTCAACCAGTTCAGATTCAGGCATCTGACTAGGACGCCTTCTGGAGGCCTCCTAGGTAAGGTTTTTCTGTCATGTCCTGCCGGGAGGAGGATGGGGCAGACCCCAGAAAGATTTTATCTCTCAGCTAGCTTTGGAATGACTGGATTTTTCCCTGGATGGGAATGGCAAGAGGGAAATCTGGGCTTCTCTGCTCAGGCAGTTGCCAAATAAGAGAAGGAGAATGGATGGATGGATGGTGTGTTGTATTAAATAAGATTTGAAAGTAGTGTTTGCACATTCTAAAAGTCTTCCTCAACATTCTTCTCACTTGATTTATTTTTTAAATGATTTTCTACTGACTTTATGAGCTCGTTTTTTGTTTTTTTTGGGGGGGGTGGGGGGGGGGGGTGGGGGTGGGGGTGTCTTTTTTTTGCAAACAGATCAGTCGCTGCCTGCTGGACTTCAGAAAGAAGGCAAGAATCTATTCTTTTAGATCTGGAGGATATGTCCATTGTCTACTTATTGCACAGGAAAACTAGGTGGACGTGGCAAGTACACCCAGTCAACACTGAATCACGTTTTTGTGTTTATTTTATAGCTCAGGTCTTTGACAGGAATGACATATTTACAGTTCACATGTGCGGAAAAGGTGATGCCCAAAACAGCAAAAGTAAGACCCAAGCTACGGCAAATTTTGACACAAAAAATGCTGCCAATCACTAATAAACTCTAATGCTGGAGAACTTCTATCAAAGTACAAAACAACTTCCTGCACTTTCATTCTTCAGTTATTATTTTGCTTAATGAGGGAACTGGCAAAGTGAGTTAATAGGAGGCTGATTCGAGGCTGACGCCATAATGAAGAGGCTCAAGCATCAGTGAAGAAAAAAGAAAATGTGCGTGTCAGCACCTGCATGTATTTCAGCATTAAGGAGTGTGTAAAGGTGTGCGTGTGGAAATGAGTGAAGACATTTGAACATTGTGTTCAGGGGCCTTGCCGCGGCTCTGTATTAGCTTCACCTCGTTATCGTTATCGCCCTCCTCCATTGTGGCATGAGGGGCGGAAAATGATTAGAGGAACAGGTGACAATGGAAGCAGAGATTTCTGCCTTTACCCGGGGCAGTGCCACTGTCAGGTACAGCAGCATTACACTCAAAAGAAAAGAAGAGGGGCGCCGCACAAAAGAGCTCCTTTCTTAGTTTAAAACACTCATGTCTTCTTCAAGAGTGCAGAATGGCTGTTCTGTGGGAGCCAATTGACTTCCTCCATCCCTCCATCCTTCTCACAGGTAAGAGGGATGAGAGCTTTGAAAAGGAAAGACTTTCCACTCCTCCTCCTTTCTTCTTCACTCTCAACTTCTCTTATTATGATCGGAAAGGAAAAGTAAGAGAGATGAAGACAGGAAGCGAGGCTGTTTCCCACGACGTGTGTGTGTGTGTGAGCGACAGATTCTGATGTAGTAACGCCAGGGCATTATCTCATTCACCCCCCTTCTTATCTCAGTACGTTTTCCTCCTTCTTTTTCCCCCCTCTCCCCCCCAGCCTTACACAAAGCTATCTGCTCTGTGGACTTTTCTGACTATTTATGTCGGACAAGGTCAGGATCGTTTAAACCGCTCTGCCTCTCTCAGCCCCTGCAGATGAGATAGCGCAGGAAGGGAGGGAGAAGCGATCGATTCCTGCCGCCACGCAGATTTATTCCCTGTTCCTCCTCCTTCTACTCTCCCCATTCTCCCAA